CCCAGTCACGGTTCTATATAAACAAGTCTCTAAACTACATAACAAAGTCATGGTTCTACATAAATAAGTCTCTAAACTACATAACCCAGTCATGGTTCAATATAAACAAGTCTCTAAACTACATAACCAAGTCACGGTACAACATAAACAAGTCTCTAAACTACCTAATCAAGTCACGGTTCAACATAAACAAGTCTCTAAACTACATAACCTAGTCACAGTTGAACATAAAAAAGTCTCTTTACTACCTAATCCAATCATGGTTCTACATAAAAAAGTCTCTAAACTACATAACCCAGTCACGGTTCTACATAAACAAGTCTCTAAACTACATAACCCAGTAACGGTTCTACATAAATAAGTCTCTAAACTACATAACCCAGTCATGGTTCAATATAACAAGTCTCTAAACTACCTAACCCAGTCACGGTTCTACAAAAACAACTCTCTAAACTACCTAATCCAGTCTCGGTTCTACATAAACGAGTCTCTTAACTACATAACCCAGTAACGGTTGAACATAAAAAAGTCTCTTAACTACATAACCCAGTCACGGTTGATCATAACCAAGTCGTTCTACATAAATAAGTCTCTAAACTACCTAACCCAGTCACAGTTCTACATAAATAAGTCTCTAAACTACCTAACCCAGTCACGGTTCAAGATAAAAAAAGTCTCTTAACAACATATCCCAGTCACGGTTCTACATAAATAAGTCTCTAAACTACCTAACCCAGTCGCGGTTCAATATAAACAAATCTCTTAACTACCTAACCCAGTCACGGTTCTACATAAACAAGTCTCTAAACTAGCTAACCCAGTCACGGTACAACATATAACCAATTCTCTAAACAAGCTAACCCATTCATGGTTCAATTAATAGAACCATCTCTCCAAACAACCTAACCCAGTGACGGTTTAACATAATCAAGTCTATAAACAACCTTACCCAGTCACAGTTCAACATAACCAACTCTCTAAACAACCTACCCTAGTCACGGTTCAACATAACCAATTCTCTAAACAAGCTAATCCAGTCATGGTTCAATAGAACCAACTTTCTAAACAACCTAACCCAGTCATGGTTCAACATAACCAATTCTCTGAACAACCTAACCTCGTCACGGTTCAACATAACCAATTCTCTAAACAAGGTAACCCAGTCATGGTTTAATAGAACCAACTCTCTAAACAACCTAACCCAGTCACGGTTTAACATAATCAAGTCTCTAAACAGCCTAATCCAGTCACGGTTCAACATAACCAACTCTCTAAACAACCTAACCCAGTCACGGTTCAACATAACCAACTCTCTAAACAACCTAACCTAGTCATGGTTTAACATAATTAAGTCTATAAACAACCTAACCCAGTCACGGTTCAACATAACCAACTCTCTAAACAACCTAACCCAGTCAAGGTTCAACATAACCCGTACGAAATTCAGAGACGTATTACGCCTGGATTTTTTGAAAATCCGGGCGTACAAGAGACGTATTCTTAAAAATACGGTTCATTTTCAGGCGTACACGTATTTTTGCCAGAAATACGTCTCCCTTTTTCCAGGCGTAAATTCTAAATCCAGGCGTATTTTCTACTTAGTCACTTTGGCACAAGGAAATTAAAACTTAGAAAATTTCAAAAGGCGTATTTTTGAAAATTCAGGTGGATTTTTCAACTTAGCCAAAAAAACTTAGTCAACTCATTCTCTTTTTTAAAAAGTATTGAGTTGCATAAGAAACATTTTATGATATTATAGAACTTAAACAAAAAACAAAGTATTGCATGATTGTATACATTACAATATTGCATTTAGTTTGTTGTATTAAATATCAAAGCAATTATTTTTCATAAATTAAACTGATTTTTTTTTTTAGAACTTTATCCCATATGGACCTGAAATTTTGTCATTCCCATTTTTTTAAAAATTGATATTATTTTTCTTAACACAAATGATTTCTATAACTGTAAAGTAAATAGTATATTCTTTAACTTCATGATTTTATTAGTCAGGCTATAAACATTCATGTTAATTAAATGTTTTTCTTATAAAATGATTTATATTTGGCATATTTAGTTACTCTATTACATTACCATCAACTTTCACTTCCCTAGCCTAACCTGCTGGGATTGTGCTAATTACTTACAGATGTGTTGAGCATGTTAAGGAACGACTTATCTGTGATGCTGTAAACCTAAGAACGGCTTATCAATTTATATCCGGTTGTGTACAGCAGTTCTATTTCCCACCCTAGTATCTTTTTAATTCATATAGTGAATACACCTTGTTTATACTGATTGATGGAATTTTATTTTTATGTTCTGTAAACAAAATAGCATTTTTCTTCAAAATTACAAATTGCACTGAGTAGAACTTCCAGAAATCATAAAAGAGTTTAGCTAACTAGGGGGTTGTAAACAACAGCCTCTGCATCCAAGTATTTGCGCCAATTTTAAACCACCAGACAGGTCATGCCAAGAACACAATGAGATTAGAGACAACCACAACAAAGCACAGATGGTGTAGAAGAGGTAAATATTTTGTAAACATAGCTTAACATTGAAACTTTTTATCTATGAAAATAAAAGACAGCTGCATTTGCTTTTGATTTGAAGAGCCAGATGTTAATGATTGAAAATTGGGTCAGTATTTTGAATTACATAAATTATTCTTTTTCCAGAAAATGATTTACATCTAAATCCTCATCACAGTTGGAGAATTGATTGAATGATGAAATGGTCATAAGAGGAGGAGAAAAGATCTTGCAATATTAAGAGTTGACCAGCAGCATAGCTTTCCATAAATGCAATTGCCAGTGAACTGCAGCCATTGGAACTTATTGCATCAGGAAGAAGATGACCATTTGTAATGCCAGTTATAAAACATTCAAACTTCTTTTTGTGAATATTTCAATCTATGAAAATGTGATTGGGGAATGTGATGTGAAACTTGAATGACAGAATTGCTTGTGATTTGCATCTTTTATGCCAATTTAGGAGTAAAAAGAATGGCAGGAATACTCGGCATGATTCTCAAAACTGTGATTCACTGTGATTATTGGAATGTTTCAACTGTTTACTACAAAACTCAGCCTTGGATGTTAAAATGCTGTGAAACGGTTAATATATTCTAACTTGTAACTGTGCTTTGAAATAGTAAATGTAAGATTATGATTTTTTAAATTTTAATGACAATCCTTTACTTGAATCTCATTCACATTTTATCACACTGAAAATATTAAGAAAATAAAAGTGCTGTATGCTAAGCTTAATTTGTCTAATCTTTTTTAGTATATTAGTCAAAAATCTTTGTACTAAAGTTGATTGTACATTTATATTCATGTTATAGTTGTAGCTCCCATTGCTGTGATATAAGTAATATTTAATTCAAATCTATTTAAAGCAGGCGTATTTTTTGTACAGGCGTATTTTTTTGTACGGGCGTATTTTTTTTATACGGGCGTATTTATTTAGCAGGCGTATTTTTAAGGGTATGCTTGAAATCTAGGCGTAATTCTGTTATTAAAATTTCCAGACGTATTTTGAATTTCCAGGCGTACTCATTTGCATATTTCGGCCAAAAATACGGGAGGATTACGCCTCGTGTACGCCTGTATTTTACATTATACGCCTGGTTTTATATATTCATTTCAATAGAGATTTCCACAAGGATTTTTAGATTAAAATACGCCTGGATTTTTTTAAAAATACGTGACTTAAATTTCGTACGGGAACCAACTCTCTATTACAACCTAACCCAGTCAAGGTTCAACATAACCAACTCTCTATTACAACCTAACCCAGTCACAGTTTAACATGACAAAGTCACAAAACAGCATAGCCAAGTCACCAAGAAACATTTTCCAATCATGGAACAAAATAAATGTTTCCCATGTAGCTAATGGAACACAAGCTTTGATTGGTTACAGAGTTGGATGTTAAATTTTGGTCCCCCGCTTAAGCAGGGGGTAAATAAAATGTGATGTCACAAAACACACTTTCTCTATGATAAAACCCAAATAACATGGTGTCAGGATGCATTGTAGTATGTAAGTTATGGATCATCTGATCCATAGATTGGCTCTGATGTTTATGGGTCCAAAGTAGGAAATAAATTCATTATCCAGGTCCAATTTAGGGTGTATGGTGATTCCATACACCCTTCTTCCTCAAAGTATACAGAGTAAATCCCTGTACACCCTTGATTGGACCTGGATAATTAATACTATCCAAAAATAAGGCAGATTATATATATAAAAGTTGTAAGAAAATAATTTATTTCACACAATAGAGATTAAAATTATGATTAGGTTTTTTTGTATATAGCTTTGCACAAATTTTAAACAAATTAAGTTGCATCATCTATGAATGACCACTTTCAACAGAGTTAATTCATAAATATATAACAGTTCAACTAATGACCTGCATCCAAAATTAGCTACACGTACAATTCTAAGTCCATGCGAATGTATTCCATGTACATCATTTTGAATCACTTTTACATTATGGATATATAATCATCTGATAATTATACAAATTTAAGTTCTATATTGAAAAAAAAATTATGGCTGCACGAGTGTTCCTTTTAAAATAACACAAAAATCCAATGATTGTTGAATGTAAAATTTGTTTCACTTAAAGTCAGAAAAACAATACAAGTTAATATTTTCCTCTAGTCAATTGATATGAAATTTTCATTAATTTCTTCCAACATTTACTAAAGAATGGTTCAAGTAAGAATTAGTGATACAACATTTTGGAATTGGTGTGGATGTGATATGAATGAAATCATGATTATCAGAGTTAAGGACTTTACTCATCTACAGTTGCAAAGTACATCATGGATTTGCCCTAACTGTTTATTTAAACAACATAGTGATATTTCATCATATCGTGATATATATATATATATATATATATATATATATATATATATATATATATATATATATATATATATATATATATATATATATATATATATATATATATATATATATATATATATATATATTTATCTTTACTCTTTAGCAATGCTATTTTTAATTGTTATTTCAATGGATAGAGAAGTTTTTCAGCTTCTCTATAAGTAATGTTTTTTACAGTGGAGGCAATAAGGATTCTTGCTTCTACAAGCAATACATCCCTAAAATATGCAACTCCCTCATTCAATCTCTGTCCTGGCCTAAAATAAAATGTATGAAATAATTAAGAATAAAGTCGTGTATAATTAATAATAATCAAATCAAGACCATAACAGATGTGAATTGTAATAAATTATGGATATTAAGAAATATACCGTTTACTTAAATATAATTAAAATTTAGTTACAAAGATATAACTCCAGATTGTTATTACAGGGATATTTTGAATATCACAATTAGTTGAATGTTGACTAAATATAATAATTAAACAATCGTACCCATCTTCCAGCGTTGCTTTTAGTTTTCCATTAGTGCAGTTTTTTAAACTAAGGTAAAACCCTGGAGGACTGAAGATACCACTAATATCCAAAAAGAGAAATACATAATGTATAAACATTTAAATAATTTTTCCATCAAAAAATAAAAATTGAAACAAGAATTCTGAACATAATTTATTAGTGACGTCTTTAATTATTTGAAAAGGGGAATTTGAATTATTTTGATGTTAAATGAATGCTTTTTATTTGGTGTTTACAAGAAAAACCAAATTTTAATTAATTTTGATTATTGTTCCACATGATTTGTTCATTTAGGAGGGACTCTAAGGAAGAACAAAAAATTTCCCAAGTATTAAATAGTCTTGCTACTTTTGCAAAAAAATAAAGTTATCACAAAAAAGAGGGATTTACAGCTATTCTTCAATGGGTGCAATTTCTACCTTTTGAAATAAATGTTTTATTATTTCAACTGTATTAATTAGGAAATGCACAATTTAGTAACAATGACAATTTAGTTAACTTATAGACATAAATAGTCACACACCTCTAAAGGTGACAGGTTTAGATTCATCTTCCAAAATAACTTTATTAAATAGCTAAATTAAATTGAGATAGAAACTTACATGATTGTTTTGGGTTTAAACAAGCCGAATTCTTCTAAAACAAGAGCACTTATTTTGGCCCATCCCTTTAAGAATAAAAAAAGAATCAATTGTATTCTTTTCCTTTTCTAACACACCCTTACCCTCTCTCACACACTTACACACATTAATAAATATATACATACCTAAATATATCATCATGAAAAACACATGAAGCGCTTATGTTTTACTTAAATATGTCATGAGTAGAAGAAAACTGATTAATAAACAAGAGGCCACATCCCACACTTGATTGAGTAACTTTACCAGATTTCTCCTTTTAAATTCCAGTTTTGGCCTTGCCCTGCCTCAGGGTCATGACTTGAACAACTTAGAAATTGCACTACTCAACGAGAATTCCACAAAAATTTCAAGCTTTTCTAGCTTAAAAAGAGGATTTTAAAAGAATTTTCCTGTATACCTCAATGAAAAATTTCAGACTTCCTAATGGGGTCCTGCCCTACCCCCTGGGGTCATCGATATCAATTGAACAAACTGGAATGTACACTACCCATGGCGGTGATGCTTCCACAAAAGTTTCAGCTTGTCTGGCCCAGTGATTCTTCAGAAGATTTTTTAAAATTCTCGTATATATTTCAATGTAAAATGTGTATTTCCTTTTGTGGCCCTGACTTAACCCCAGGGGTCATGCTTTGAACATTATTTAGAATAAACACTACCAAAGGATGCTTCCACAAAGTGTTTAGCTTTTCTTGCTCAGTGGTTCTTCAAAAGATTTTTTTTAATGACCCATGCCTTTTTTGTCTTTTCCTTATTAACTCCCCTTGTAATGGAACATGGCCCTTTATTTTATTAATTAAAACTCACCTCCACCCAAGGATGCTTTGTAACAAGCTCAATTAGAATTGATCCAGAGGTTTTTAAGATGTTTAAAATGTGAACAGTATACAAATAGACAGAAAAAAGGCAGATAATATGTGATCAGAAAAGCTTACTTGAGCTTTTAGCTCATGTGAGCTAAAAAAAATGAATCAAGTTAAGAAATAGTCTCTATAACTGTTACATAACTTGCATAGAGCAATTACCGGGTACAAAATATGCAAGACTAGTCATATGAAATGCATTATATACTACAGAGCAAACATTGTTATTCATCACATTATGGTCTGTCAAGTCATTCCGGTCAATCCAACGTAGATGTCTCCAATGCGGTTCATAACACCTGCAAAAGCAATATACATCCTAAAACTGAAGTTTATAACATTTTTATTTTAACCAGTTGTTACTGTATCTCTTTGAAACAAAAATGCATGAAACAATGTAACAATATGTAGGACATACCATGAAATCTTTTTAATTTCTAACAAGAAATCTGTGAGCCAATGCTTACTAGTAATACCTCCACTATGATGTAAAAATACACTATATGTTAATATATATACAGTGGACGCCAGATATCCGGATGCTTCAGTATCCGGACGATTTTTCATGGGAACAAAATGTTTAAATGTTATTTTGTCTTGTTTAAACTGGTGATTCAGATATCCGGATGCTTCACATATCCGGACAAATTGACTGGGAACCAAAGTGTCCGGATAAATGAGGGTCCACTGTATGTACACCATGTAAAGTTCAGTTACAGGCAGATTCACGAATAAATAGGAAGTTGACATCAGATTCACACAAAAATAAATCCCACCATACAGAATGCCTCAACAAAGTATGTTTTAAAATTTCAAGCATCTGCTACCGTATAAGTGGAAATTTTAGCTTAAAAACTGGTATTTTATTTTTAGCGAGTCAGAAGTAATTTTAGCGATTTTAAAATGCCCTCTAAAGAAGCTAGTACAAATAACACGCAATTAATTTTTAGCTATATTCAATTTTAGCGATCTTAAAAGCCTCGCTAATAATGCCAAAATTAAATCCTCACTAAAATTTCCACTTATACGGTATGATGCTGTGAAACATGCGAAAAAAATTGTTATGGACAGACAGCTAGACAAACAGATGCGTAGACCCAAAAGGGTAAAACAATATACCCCTCTACTTAGGAGCGGTGTTACAATAATGAAATTTTGATCATTTAATTGATTGCCCATAAAGTTAATGAAGATTGACAATTTTAAAGTAAATAAGCTGCTCATGTAACATGTATGTACATCACGTACCTCTTATCACCCTCTTCTAATTCCAACATTTCCTTCAGCTTTGTTTTGACATTTTTTTCAAACTATAAAATTTTTAAAATAATTATTAGAAATCTTTTCGTAGTGTTGTAGAACTCAGTTAATATTACTAAGCATTTAAAGCAGACTTAATCTCTCTTTATATCTTTGTGAAATCAATACATGTAGGAAATATTATAAAAATATAAACAAGAAACTTAAATTGTGAAGTCGATCAGGGCATTTAGATAAACATGTATGCAAAACATTACTAAAATTACCAGTGATGCTATATTGTAGCCTAGTATATTTCCTGTTCCCTTGGTTATGGGAAGATCCATCCTTGGCCATTCACACAAAATATGAACCAATTTCATGGACTGTTCAGTCTACAAGTAAAACACATTTTGTTATAACATATAACATGTTTATAATAACATGTTGTTATACTTTTTTTTAGAATAAAAAAATAATTTATGTTTTTCAGGACTTAAACATGAAATTGTTAACCCTTGAAAACCATATTGCTGACCTATGCTTCACCTCTGTTAGCAATGTTTTTCGCAGGATAATAATTTCACACAATATATATTGTAAACATATTATTTTTATAATGTTGATGGTTTAAAGATACTTAATATACATGTAGTGTGATGGACCCCCATAAAATTTGCTTTCTTCAGAAATGCTCACATAAAAAATATATAATGATTTGCATTGTGACAGAGAAAATAACAAGAAAGTCATTGCTATATTTTTATTAAATGAAGGTGTAAATTACATGTCTATTTTTTTTTCTTATTATTATTAAATACCTACCTTAGCTTTTACACTCGTGTGCAACCAATCATTGCATTCACCTATCTGATCTGAAGCTTTCTGATTGATTGAAAAATATGATGAAATTAAGTACATTTATTAGGTATATTCAACTGTTTTGATGTTTTGTTTTGAAATGCAATGCAGTTAAATAGCTATCACCAATATATATAAATATAGGATGTTTTATAAAAAAGAATTATCTTGAATAGTTTCTTTGTAACTGAGCAAATTAAGGCAGAACAAGACTGAAGACATACATGACGTTCAATCTATATTTTCATGGTATGGCATAACAAACCAAGCTCTACATAATGGCATTGCTTTCTCTCAACTGTGTACTTACTGAGGGAACTGCAGAACTTTCTCCCAAACGCATCACCTTTGAATTAGGCATATATCTGAAGTAAAACGAAAAAAATAGCTACAAAAATGAATGCCAAATTATAAACTGTAATACATGCTTCTAATAATTCTGCGTGTTCATATCAATATTAAACCAGCTGTGTTTAATGATAAATTTTAGTCAAATCAACCAAAACACAAACAGAAAAATAAACAACATCAAAAAACAAGAGGCCCATGGGCCACATCGCTCACCTGAGCACTGTGGCTTATAGTAGTCCATTGACCAATTTTGGCTTTGCTATTCTTCGTAAGATTATTTTTTTAAAGAATTTTCCTATATATGCCTATTTAAAACTTTGATTGGCCATTGTAGCCCCGCCCTATCACCAAGGGTCATGATTTGAACAAACTTGAATCTTCACTACCTGAAGATGCTTCCATACAAATATGATCAATTATGGCTTTGTTATTCTTGAGAAGAAGATTTTTAAAGAATTTTCCTATATATTTCTATGTAAAACTTTGGTCGGCCATTGTGGCCCCGCCCTATCCCCGAGGGTCATGATTTGAACAAACTTGAATCTTCACTACCTGAGGATGCTTCAAAATAAATATGATCAATTATGGCTTTGTTATTCTTGAGAAGAAGATTTTTAAAGAATTTTCTTGTACATTTCTATGTTAAACTTTGGTCGGCCATTGTGGTCCCGCCCTACCCCCGGGGGTCATGATTTGAACAAACTTGAATCTACACTACGGAAAGATGTGTCCATACAAATATGATCAATTATGGATTTGTTATTCTTGAGAAGAAGATTTTTAAATGATTTTCCTATATATTTCTATGTAAAACTTTGGTCGGCCATTGTGGTCCCGCCCTACCCCCGGGGGGTCATGATTTGAACAAACTTGAATCTACACTACCTAAAGATGCTTCCATATAAATTAGATCAATCATG